TTCAGGTGTATATCAATATGTAGTGTCTCTACTTTAAAGAGTCCTCTCCTGCTGATGTTCAGGTGTATATCAGTATATAGTGTCTCTACTTTAAAGAGTCCTCTCCTGCTGATGTTCAGGTGTATATCAGTATATAGTGTCTCTACTTTAAAGAGTCCTCTCAAACTGTACAAAATAAAAAAAGATGGAATCTGGAACCTTATATTAGGTCATAAGTTTCTTGTTTTGATCCAAAGAACTCTTCATGTCAGGACTGTCTGGCAGCAGGGAGAGCTCATTTATATTATTCTCAGCTTTACACAAAAACCTGCCAAGAAAAAGTCTTCTTCTGAAAGTTATTTGGGGAGGGGGGGGGGGGGGATAAAGCATTGCATAGCATTCAATTTTGATGCTGACATGTATAAACATGGTGTAATGTAAAAAGTATTTACTTTGTGTGTGTGCAGGTGTGTGACCTACAGCGATTCTGCAAAACATAAATCAAACGCTTGAAGGATGAACCCGAGAGATGTTTTCAGGATTTAAAGGCGTCGTCGCTCGGACCCTGCAGGTTTCAGATTTGATGGTATTTTCCGTTTAGTTTTTATCCGATAGAAACAAAAAGTATTGTCTTTGATCCACCCGGTGTCCAAAAAAACATCATTTGAGGACTCCACTGAAATATGATAAAATAATAAAACATTTTTAAAAAAGTTACAAAAGAAAGAAAGAAATGAAATATAACATTAAAAAATAAAATATATATATGAAAATTAAAACATGTGCCGACACAAACTATCCTTGTTATTGACTTATTATCAGCTTGAAGAACTGGACTAAGCACACAGGAGCCAGAGACCTCCCCTCAACTTAAGAGGACCACTTTGTTACATTTGGTTTTGACCTTTTCAGGGAAATACTGATTAAAAAAGATAACATAACAAAGTCCTGTGAGTTCTTTCCGGCTCGGGAAGAACTGGATAAACTCAGAGGTGGAAGGAGCATGAGCATTATAGTCTGGACCATAGTTACAACATGTCTTGTCAGGTTTGGACGGTTCAGGAGTGGTTTAGGAGGTTATTGGAGATGCTGAATCCATTTCTGACATTTTCAGGATCAGACATGTCAGTTCTAACCAGAAAGTGGACCTATCTGTTCTCTCTGTGGACCAGTGGTCGTTGGACGTGGGGGATCGCCGTCCCCCCACTTATTTGGAGCCCCCACTTTGTAAAGCATGATTTTTTTGTAATAGTCTAATAAATATAAAATCATTGCCAGTGTTATCAGTTGAAAGTGTGTATTTGTTGTAATTATGACGAAAACATCATACATTTCACAGTAATTATAATAAAAACGTAGCTCAAGTATTTATGCAACTTGATTTGAAGCGTGTGTGTGAGAGAGGGGCAGCACCGCGTCCCGCGTCCCACAAATTGAGTTTATGTCCCGCAATAGAGTGACAGTCGCGCAGAAAGGCCGGCTCGGTTCGCTGACGGCCGGCACCGCCCTTTATTATTATATTTATTAAACGGCACCATGTAAGTTGCGCTGAGAGTTGGCAGGGGTCCACAGAGGTCCACAGTGTACCCCCCCCGCGTTGACAGTCCACTAGCGCGTCCATAGTGACTCTCCCCATCCCCGTCCACCCAGTGAAAGAATCCCCACTACACCTGCTGTGGACTGATTCTGATGGATTTGGAAGTTTAAGAGGATCATGATCATCTGGTGCTCTCTGTATCCAACAGGATCAATGCAGTCAAAACCAGGTGCTGATGGAGAAGACTTACACTGAAGGAATGTGTTGAGGTAACTCCATTTCATCTCTCAGATGTTTTTATTAGTTCTTCCTGTTGGTTTCATCGCGTTGTCATTAAATGCTCCTTCAGGCCGCGCCATAAAAAGATGGCAAAGGCTATACTAATAACAATAATAATAATAATAATTAAAGCTGCAAGCAGCGTTGAGCGGGTCTTCGACGTTCCGTCCGTGCTGTTGTCCGCACGTCGACGTGTGTGTCTAGGTGTGTCGAGGACTCGGCCGTTGGCAAACGTGGGAAGTTTCAGGCCGATCGGACAATGTATTTGAGTTACAGCAGTAACACAAACGATTTTGTTTAATGGCGGGCGATCTGTCTCCATGGCAACGGCATTTGATGACACCCCATAATATGCTTAGATGTGTTGAAGGCTAGATGGTTATGAAACCTGTGAAGTTTTGGGCCGTTTGGAGCATGTTAACTGGAGTAATGAGAAAACGGTGTTTCACGGCGACCATTTTGTTACCATAGCAACGAAATTTGACGAAATCTCAAAACTGACACATATATGTCTCGAGGGCTTGACGGTTAGCACACATGTACAGTTTGAACAGTTTTTGACCATTTACACAGGACTTATAGCAATATCGTGCTTAACGGCGAGGGGTGTGTTGCCATGGCAACAGCTTTTGGGGAAAACTCACTATTGTCATATTGAGGTGTTGAGGGCCAGACCATTAACTGTCATCTGAAGTCTGGTGCAGTTTGGACCATTTTCCATTGAATTAGGACAACACCAGGTTTATTGGCGAGGGACGCGTTGCCATGGCAACGACATATGATGACATCCCATCATTTGCATAGAGTTGTTGAGGGCCGGAGCATTAACTGTCATGTGAAGTCTGGTGCTGTTTGGACGATTTTCCATTGACTTACACCAGCATCGTATTTTTTGGCGAGGGATGCGTTACCATGGAAACGGCATACGATGAGATTTCAGATTGTACGTAGAGCTGTTGAGGCATGGACCGGTGATATAAAAGTGAAGATTGGGGGACGATGGGACCGTGTCCATTGGAGTTACAGCGACATAGTTATTTATGGCGAAGGATCCGTCGCCATGGTAACGCCAAATTAAGTAATGTCAGATTTGACCTAGAGCTGTTCAGGGCTGTAGTGAAAACCATCATGTGAAGTTTGGTGGCGTTCTGAGTATGTCAGTTTGAGTTATGACATCATCGTGTTCCATGGCGAGGGACCGCCTAGCATCGAGCGAACACGAACTTTAGCGACAAATAACGGCTACGCCGTACGAAAGAAAAAAACTTCTGTAATAACTTTAGATTGCCCATGTCTCGCGAAGCTACCCGATGAATTTCGAGTCGTACGGATAAAGTCCCTAGGAGAAGATAGATTTCGTAGGGAGGACGAAAAACGCGATAAATCGCGTTTTTCCGACACAAAATTCAAAATGGCCGACTTTCTGTACGTTATTTTATACCCCTCCAAGAGGCTTTTTGGTTCGTCTCCGCACCCTAGATATGCGTAGCGAGTTTCGTTCGTTTACGTGAAAGTTAAAGTAGGGGGAGTTAACGTTAAAAACGGAAGTGGGCGTGGCCTACGCAATTTTTGACGCAAAGTTCCCGAACCTATTACACATTGCAATTTTGTCAACTTTTGACGCGCGTGCAAAATTTGGTGAGTTTTCACATATGTTGCGGGGCTCAAAAGTGCGTTAGAAGAGTTCAAATAATAATCATAACAAAATAATCGGTCCGATCTCAATAATGTGCGATTTAACAGTGAGGTGGGTGCGCCCACCTCACTGTAGGCCGTTGGGCCTACTGGCATCATTTAGGCCACTTTTAATGGCCCCTCTTTTTCCCTGTTTTTGGTGGGTTTTGCATGGTTATCGCTCGCTTTGCGAGCGACTAAATTGATCGTAACGATATCAATTATGCGAGTTGCAGTCACGTGGGCTCCGCCCATGTGACTGCAACTCGTGACTGGGCTCACGCGGCCTATCAGCCGTCATGATTTCCGAACCTTTTCTGTGCTTTTGCCGGTCGATTTCCCTGTTTTTGGGTGTTTTTCGCAGGTTTATCTATTTATGTTTATATTAATAATATTTTTTATTTGTATTCCTCTCATTATTATTATTAATAGTAATTGTATCATTGTTTTTATTAGCTTTACTTTTGTAATTATTATATATTTCTTAAATTAATTACACAATAATGAATGAAGTATATATATGTTTTTTAGAACTGTTATCATTATTCTTAATTAAACAGTATTATTGTTAATAATATTATTTCTATGAAAGCAGATAGGAATGAATTAGCAAACCAAACACTTAAAAACCCCACAAATAAATAAAATAAAACCTTAATAAATTAACAAGTAATAAAAAACAATTTAGAATAGTTTTTTTAACTAAGAAAATCCAAAAGCGTCTCACTAGGAAGACAACAGAAAATTCAGACATTTTATTTTTAGGGGATGAAAGGATAATGACCCTCCTGCTTGGATCAGTTCAAACACACACATGAGGATCACATGTGTGTGTTTTAAAACATGATCTGCGTTGCTCTGTATGTTAGAGAACAGATGTTGAATCACTGCGAGTTGACATCATGCCGTCCCAACGCAGCGGGCCAGAGGATGGCCTCACTTTCTGACATATATATATTATATATATATATATTCTGAGATATTAAAAACACAGAGAATTATAAAAAGTGAATAAAAAGTTAAAGGTGGCAGATGTTAGGTGGATGCAGTGCTTGTTTTGCACCCCGGGGCACTCGGGGTGGGTGGAGTTAGGAGTGATTGTAGTCGCGTGTCAATGTTTGCAAACGGACCTCCGCCCACCCCTGTGCATCAGGCTGGGAAAAACATGATGACATCACAGTGAACCGGCCAATCACAACACACAGTGGCTGCTTTCCCAAAATGTCTGCCAGCAAAGGTAACCTCCTCCTAATTAAATTTAAACAGGACTTTTAACTCAGATGCACTTTGACTACAACACATGTTGGGAAAGACAGGAAGCAGGAAGTCACTCCAAGCCAATCAGATTGAGCTTTACCTCCGTCGGTCCTCCACGCCTGCTATTGGTTGGAAGAGCTTTCTACACCAAACACAGAGGTACACAGGAAGAGGTGAGGAGAAAACACACAACCTGACACCTGAGATACATCACAGGTGAGGAAATCAAAACAGGAAGTGTGTGTGTGTGTGTGTGTGTGTGTGTGTGTGTTACCCGTGTTGCTGTGTCTCTTGCTGAAGGGGTTGAGTGTAGCTTTAGCTTTGGAGGTCCAGTTAGCGGTGCTGGAGCCGAAGGAGCTGGAGGAAAGAGACTTCATGTTGTCCGAGGACACCTTCTTTGTGTTGTTGGTGGCCGTCTTACTCCAGTCTGCAACACACACACACACACACACACACACACACACACACACACACACACACACACACACACACACACACACACACACACACACACACACACACACACACACACACACACACACACACACACACACACACACACACACACACACACACACACACACACACACACACACACACACACACACACACACACACACACACACACACACACACACACACACACACATTTGATTACATTATATTTATTAGTGTAAATGCAATTTCCCGAAGTAAAAGCTAATGTTGGGCTATAAAAGAACTACAGCACAGTCACATGACTTCACGTCACCACCGCTAAGCTAAAGGAGGCTAATTTTGGGCTATAAAGGTACTACAGCACGGTCACATGACTTCACGTCACCACCGCTAAGCTAAAGGAGGCTAATGTTGGGCTATAAAGGAACTACAGCACGGTCACATGACTTCACGTCACCACCGCTAAGCTAAAGGAGGCTAATGTTGGGCTATAAAGGAACTACGGCACGGTCACATGACTTCACGTCACCACCGCTAAGCTAAAGGAGGCTAATGTTGGGCTATAAAGGAACTACAGCACGGTCACATGACTTCACGTCACCACCGCTAAGCTAAAGGAGGCTAATGTTGGGCTATAAAGGAACTACAGCACGGTCACATGACTTCACGTCACCACCGCTAAGCTAAAGGAGGCTAATGCTGGGCTATAAAGGAACTACAGCACGGTCACATGACTTCACGTCACCACCGCTAAGCTAAAGGAGGCTAATGTTGGGCTATAGAGGAACTACAGCACGGTCACATGACTTCACGTCACCACCGCTAAGCTAAAGGAGGCTAATGTTGGGCTATAGAGGAACTACAGCACGGTCACATGACTTCACGTCACCACCGCTAAGCTAAAGGTGGCTAATGTTGGGCTATAAAGGAACTACAGCACGGTCACATGACTTCACATCACCACCGCTAAGCTAAAGGAGGCTAATGTTGGGCTATAAAGGAACTACGGCACGGTCACATGACTTCACGTCACCACCGCTAAGCTAAAGGAGGCTAATGTTGGGCTATAGAGGAACTACAGCACGGTCACATGACTTCACGTCACCACCGCTAAGCTAAAGGAGGCTAATGTTGGGCTATAGAGGAACTACAGCACGGTCACATGACTTCACGTCACCACCGCTAAGCTAAAGGCGGCTAATGTTGGGCTATAAAGGAACTACAGCACGGTCACATGACTTCACGTCACCACCGCTAAGCTAAAGGCGGCTAATGTTGGGCTATAAAGGAACTACGGCACGGTCACATGACTTCACGTCACCACCGCTAAGCTAAAGGAGGCTAATGTTGGGCTATAGAGGAACTACAGCACGGTCACATGACTTCACGTCACCACCGCTAAGCTAAAGGAGGCTAATGTTGGGCTATAGAGGAACTACAGCACGGTCACATGACTTCACGTCACCACCGCTAAGCTAAAGGCGGCTAATGTTGGGCTATAAAGGAACTACAGCACGGTCACATGACTTCACGTCACCACCGCTAAGCTAAAGGAGGCTAATGTTGGGCTATAAAGGAACTACGGCACGGTCACATGACTTCACGTCACCACCGCTAAGCTAAAGGAGGCTAATGTTGGGCTATAGAGGAACTACAGCACGGTCACATGACTTCACGTCACCACCGCTAAGCTAAAGGCGGCTAATGTTGGGCTATAAAGGAACTACAGCACGGTCACATGACTTCACGTCACCACCGCTAAGCTAAAGGCGGCTAATGTTGGGCTATAAAGGAACTACGGCACGGTCACATGACTTCACGTCACCACCGCTAAGCTAAAGGAGGCTAATGTTGGGCTATAGAGGAACTACAGCACGGTCGCATGACTTCACGTCACCACCGCTAAGCTAAAGGAGGCTAATTTTGGGCTATAAAGGTACTACGGCACGGTCACATGACTTCACGTCACCACCGCTAAGCTAAAGGAGGCTAATGTTGGGCTATAAAGGAACTACAGCACGGTCACATGACTTCACGTCACCACCGCTAAGCTAAAGGAGGCTAATGTTGGGCTATAAAGGAACTACGGCACGGTCACATGACTTCACGTCACCACCGCTAAGCTAAAGGAGGCTAATGTTGGGCTATAAAGGAACTACAGCACGGTCACATGACTTCACGTCACCACCGCTAAGCTAAAGGAGGCTAATGCTGGGCTATAAAGGAACTACAGCACGGTCACATGACTTCACGTCACCACCGCTAAGCTAAAGGAGGCTAATGTTGGGCTATAGAGGAACTACAGCACGGTCACATGACTTCACGTCACCACCGCTAAGCTAAAGGAGGCTAATGTTGGGCTATAGAGGAACTACAGCACGGTCACATGACTTCACGTCACCACCGCTAAGCTAAAGGTGGCTAATGTTGGGCTATAAAGGAACTACAGCACGGTCACATGACTTCACGTCACCACCGCTAAGCTAAAGGAGGCTAATGTTGGGCTATAAAGGAACTACAGCACGGTCACATGACTTCACGTCACCACCGCTAAGCTAAAGGAGGCTAATGTTGGGCTATAGAGGAACTACAGCAAGGTCACGTGACTTCACCACCGCTAAGCTAAGGAGGCTAATGTTGGGCTATAGAGGAACTACAGCACGGTCACATGACTTCACGTCACCACCGCTAAGCTAAAGGAGGCTAATGTTGGGCTATAAAGGAACTACAGCACGGTCACATGACTTCACGTCACCACCGCTAAGCTAAAGGCGGCTAATGTTGGGCTATAAAGGAACTACGGCACGGTCACATGACTTCACGTCACCACCGCTAAGCTAAAGGAGGCTAATGTTGGGCTATAGAGGAACTACAGCACGGTCACATGACTTCACGTCACCACCGCTAAGCTAAAGGAGGCTAATGTTGGGCTATAGAGGAACTACAGCACGGTCACATGACTTCACGTCACCACCGCTAAGCTAAAGGCGGCTAATGTTGGGCTATAAAGGAACTACAGCACGGTCACATGACTTCACGTCACCACCGCTAAGCTAAAGGAGGCTAATGTTGGGCTATAAAGGAACTACAGCACGGTCACATGACTTCACGTCACCACCGCTAAGCTAAAGGAGGCTAATGTTGGGCTATAGAGGAACTACAGCACGGTCACATGACTTCACGTCACCACCGCTAAGCTAAAGGCGGCTAATGTTCGGCTATAAAGGAACTACAGTACGGTCACATGACTTCACGTCACCACCGCTAAGCTAAAGGCGGCTAATGTTGGGCTATAAAGGAACTACGGCACGGTCACATGACTTCACGTCACCACCGCTAAGCTAAAGGAGGCTAATGTTGGGCTATAGAGGAACTACAGCACGGTCACATGACTTCACGTCACCACCGCTAAGCTAAAGGAGGCTAATGTTGGGCTATAGAGGAACTACAGCACGGTCACATGACTTCACGTCACCACCGCTAAGCTAAAGGCGGCTAATGTTGGGCTATAAAGGAACTACAGCACGGTCACATGACTTCACGTCACCACCGCTAAGCTAAAGGAGGCTAATGTTGGGCTATAAAGGAACTACAGCACGGTCACATGACTTCACGTCACCACCGCTAAGCTAAAGGAGGCTAATGTTGGGCTATAAAGGAACTACAGCACGGTCACATGACTTCACGTCACCACCGCTAAGCTAAAGGTGGCTAATGTTGGGCTATAAAGGAACTACAGCACGGTCACATGACTTCACGTCACCACCGCTAAGCTAAAGGTGGCTAATGTTGGGCTATAAAGGAACTACAGCACGGTCACATGACTTCACGTCACCACCGCTAAGCTAAAGGTGGCTAATGTTGGGCTATAAAGGAACTACAGCACGGTCACATGACGTTCTCCCTGCAGCACTCTATTGAACAAAACACATATCTAATACATTGAAAGTGTGTCAACATGAACTCTGTGTTTTCTTCTTCTATGGTGCTGGATTCAGGGAGGATTTTTAAAATGGCTGAGTTCCATTTCTCAGGTGTTCACACACAGGAGTACTCAGATCCTTTACTGAAGTGAAACAAAGCACAGGATCAAAATACTCTGGTACAAGAAAAGTATTCAAAGTAGAAGAACTCATTGCAGAAAATATCCACAATTGAAAAAATGTGAAACAAAGCAGTTTTTTAAACATTAAAAATTACTTAAAGATCGGCTAATTATCTCAGGAGTATTTGTGACAAACTATCCTGATTTATAATCTACTTGTACGTAATTATCATCATTATTAATACATGTATTATTATTATCATATGTTATTATCAGTATTTTTATTTATTTTTTTATTTATCAATACATTATAATTATTAATACAAATAATATTTGTATTAGTATAAATATATTATTATGAGTATTTCTATAAATATATTATTTTCATTTTCATAAATATATTATTATTATTTTTATAAATATATTATTATTATCATTATTATCATTATTATTATTATTATTATTATTATTTATCATCAATAAATATTATATTATTCAAACATATATTATTATTATTTTTCTTAAAGGAGAAGCAAAAAATCTTGCAAAAGCATAAATTAAAACTGTAACCAATTAATGAGTAATTAAAACATATCTATGAATGGAATGAAGTAAAGTACAAGTACCCTAAATGTGTACTTTTCACTACTGGGAACCACTAAGAGCACCTGGAGCACTTCCTGCCCTTCCGTCTGATCCCTCTTTATGAGCTGCAGAGCCCAGAGACTAAAGACTTATAATTTAATAATAAAGTGCAGACACACACACACACACACATTGGAATACTTGATTTGGTTCCACAAATTATATTATATAGACAGGGAATCAAATATATCGGGGCTAAGCAGCACAGAACACTTAAGGGTACACATAGCACCTCCTTCTCCACACGGCTAAGCTGCCAATAATAGCTGAGACAGAGCAATAGATACACACACACACACACACACACACACACACACACACACACACACACACACACACACACACACACACACACACACACACACACACACACACACACACACACACACACACAACACACACACACACACACACACACACACACACACACACACACACACACACACACACACACACACACACACACACACACACACACACACACACACACACACACACACACACACACACACACACACACACACACACACACACACACACACACACAGTACCTGAGTTGTCGGACAGTCTGAACCTCCCGCAGCAGAGGAATCTCCTCCACTGTTTCTGGACGTTCTCTTTCAGCGCGCAGTGGAAGATGAATATGAACAGACCTGCGGGTGAATGGGGTACAAAAATTAACACAGATATATCACTGTGAAACTTCCCCGGTTCATTACGGACATTAAGACAATCAGTTTGTATATTACAAGTTTTCCGTAATGTTATATTTAAATATGCAAATTAGGCGATATTTTATTAAATTTGCATATTTTCCAGCACAGAAATGTGACCAGTGGATAAAGCCAGGTTCATATTATATATATATACCTTTGGTGACAAAAGGAGAAAAGAGTTGATGACAAACTTTTTTTTTGGCAACAGAGCAGTTAACTGTTGATGAAAAAAAGGGAACTTAATTGTAGACGGAAAATAAAAAGTCTACATTTTTTTCAAGTTGACTAAAAGAAAGTTGGCCAAAAAAAGAGTTGACCAAAAAAAAAAATGTTGAAACCAAAAAAAAAAGGAATACAATTTATTTTTGGGGGCGGATTATAAAGTTATACTGTTTCATAACCGTTAAGAGTTTGTCAGTATGTCTGAAATGATTAGGTTAGCTGCGTTAGCTAGCTAGCTCACAGCAGATCTGCAGTCACATCAGAAGGAGTCATGTGACCACAGTTTAGGTAAGTTTAACAATAACGCAGGACTAATAATTGTATTATCAAATATGATATATCATAATATGACTTTGTGAAAAAAGTGAAAAATCAGAAAAAAGTCAAATAAAACAAAAAAAAGGTCAAAATTCTGAAACTGTCAAATAAAACTAAAAAGTCAGAAAAAGAAGCCAAAAGTTAAAAAAAGTCAAAGATCTGAGAAAAGTCCAAACTGAACTGGCTTCAGAGTACAGGGCACTAAAGGAGTCATGTGAGGACTTTGCTAAAACAACAATCCCCTGAAGGCGAGGTTACCTTGCAGGGAGTTGAAGATGGAGAACAGGTAGGTGAAGGCCAGGTACACCGGACCCCAGGCGAACAGGGCGAAACTCCACGTCATCCCCAGCAGAAATGTGAGACTCACAACACTGCGCAGGTTCCTCAGCACCTGGCACCACCGAAGAAGAAGAAGAGGAAGAGGAGGAAGAAGAAGAAACACAAATATGTTTGTTTTTTTGTATATGTTCTTTGGTGATACGTTTTGAGTGCTGTTGTTATTGTGTGTTTATATCTGTGTGTACCTCCTCTCTCAGTGTGCTGTTGCTCCTCTTGTTGTTGTTATTGTGTGTTTGTTTACCTCCTCTCTCAGTGTGCTGTTGCTCCTCTTGTTGTTGTTGTTGTGTGTTTGTTTACCTCCTCTCTCAGTGTGCTGTTGCTCCTCTTGTTGTTGTGTGTTTGTTTACCTCCTCTCTCAGTGTGCTGTTGCTCCTCTTGTTGTTGTTGTTGTGTGTTTGTTTTACCTCCTCTCTCAGTGTGCGGTTGCTCCTCTTGTTGTTGTTATTGTGTGTTTGTTTACCTCCTCTCTCAGTGTGCTGTTGCTCCTCTTGTTGTTGTTGTTGTTGTGTGTTTGTTTACCTCCTCTCTCAGTGTGCGGTTGCTCCTCTTGTTGTTGTTGTTGTTGTGTGTTTGTTTACCTCCTCTCTCAGTGTGCTGTTGCTCCTCTTGTTGTTGTTGTTGTTGTGTGTTTGTTTTACCTCCTCTCTCAGTGTGCTGTTGCTCCTCTTGTTGTTGTTGTGTGTTTGTTTACCTCCTCTCTCAGTGTGCGGTTGCTCCTCTTGTTGTTGTTGTTGTGTGTTTTGTGTACCTCCTCTCTCAGTGTGCTGTTGCTCCTCTTGTTGTTGCGTGTTTGTTTACCTCCTCTCTCAGTGTGCTGTTGCTCCTCTTGTTGTTGTTATTGTGTGTTTGTTTACCTCCTCTCTTAGTGTGCTGTTGCTCCTATTGTTGTTGTTATTGTGTGTTTGTTTACCTCCTCTCTTAGTGTGCTGTTGCTCTATTGTTGTTGTTGTTGTTATTGTGTGTTT